ATCCAGAGAAAGAGTTAAGTGAAAGACAGATTTTGAAAATGTGTTTTTAGTCTTTATTTCTCCCTAACCTACGTTGTTGTTGTTATGAGCCGTCAAGTCGGACCCGACTCATAGCGACCCCTCCTTGGGTTTCCGAGGTGGTATCACTATCGAAATAGATTGCCCAACCTTCCTTCCGAGGAGTTGCTAGTGAGTTTGAACCACCAGCCTTCTGGTTAGCAGTCAAGTGCCTTAGGCACTACGCTGATGGTTCTTGCATTTCTGATCCTCTACTCCCAGTGCCTCACCAAGGTACATGCTTCAGGCAAAGATGGTGTTTCTGTGTCACTCCTCATTGATTCCACACCTTACAGTACACCCATTGGTTGAAGGACTGTGCTCTCCTATATTTATGGAGATTTGCTTCCATAGGCACCTACTTTCTGTCTTGTCACACCCTCATTGGATCCTGTTGCATATGTCAGTCTTTCTTTATATTTTGCCGTTTAGGGTTTCAGATGACTCCTAATTTCATTGAAGATTGACCTTATTTTTCTCTTCCTGAATATCCTTGCTATTGAGGGTAAGAAAGATAAGGAGAGAGATGCCATCATCCTTCTATCTTTATTGTTATTATTATTTTACTTTTGGTGACACTATACACAGCAAAACATATACCAATTCAACATGTTCTACATGTACGATTCATTGATATTAGTTACACTTTTCAAATTGTGCCACCATTCTCACTATCCTTTTCCAAATTATTTAACCACCATTAACATGAACTCACAGATCCCCCCACCACCACCCAGGCCCCTCATCTAACTTTCCCAATTACTTTTGTCCATTTGGTCATATAGAGATAATTCTTTAAAGGAGCACAGTGCTCAAGGCAAACATTCTTTACTAATTAAGCTAAATTATTGTTTGATTTACTCCTCGGAAGGAAGGTTGGGCAACCTACTTCCATAGTGATACCACCTCGGAAACCAAGGAGGGGTTGCTATGAGTCTGATCTGACTTGATGGCAATGTTTTGGGCTTTTTGCATATTGTTTGATTTAAAGTTGACTTTAGGGGATACTTTTGATTTAAGGTTTAAAGAATACCTCTGGAAAGTATTTTCAGGGGATCATCAGCCTCAATGGGTCCACAAAGTCTGGATTCCATGAGAATTTTTACCGTATTTTTACCCCTTTTGATCAAAAGTCCTCTATAGAACCTTTGATCAAAAAATTCAGTAATGGTACTGTCTATTTCTTCTGGTCTCATGACCCAGAAGAGGTAGTGTGTGTATGGAAACATATACATTCTATATCCTCCTCCTATTCCTGACTCTCTCTCTTCCTCTGTTGTCCCAGATAAGTAGAGACCAATGGTTGTACTTTGCATAGCCACTTTCAAGCTTTTAAGACCCCAGGCACTACACAGTGAACTAGCAGGTAAAACAGAAATACTAAAACAATATTAGGCCATTGACTAGAATGTACTATAAAACCATAACAGTAAACCTCCAAACCAAGAAAACAAGTCCCATAAGATATTTGGTTATACATAAACAATATCATTAACTGCTCTTTTTGTTGTTGTTCTTATATACTGCTATCTTAAAATAAGTCATCTCTACCTATCCATTACCTTTTAATTTTGACAATATACATCCCAGTTAAGTCACCACCATTAGACTTGTTTTAAAGATGAGGAATTTGTTGCCTTAAAAGTTATTTTGATTGGGGAGCTCTGGTAGCATAGTGCCTAAGGCACTCAACTGCTAACCAGAAGGCTGGCGGTTCAAACCCACCAGCCATTCCTCGGAAGGAAGGTTGAGCAATCTATTTCTGTGTGATTCTGCCTCGGAAACCCAAGGAGGGGTCGCTATGAGTCGAGTCCAACTCAACAGCACATAACAACAACAACAGGACCATATACCTGTCAGTGAGAATGAACTGGCAAAGTCTTGAGCCAGAATTCAGTACAAAGAGGGATGCCTTATAAATAAAATGTAAATAAAAGCCCAGTTGCTCTCTTTTATCTATGCAGGGGAGCTTGTATTGTGCTGTTGTTTTTCATAAGATCTAATTCATTATGATGACTTTATTCATGAGCTAGGGTTCAATCACTAAACCTGTTTTCATCCTACATTCAGTCAGTTGTCAAGTCAGCTCCTAGCTCGTGACAACCTTTATGAGTCAGAATAGAACTGTGCTCCATAGTGTTTTCAGTGGCTGATATTTTTGAAATCAATTGTTGGGCCTTTCTTCTGAGGTACCTCTGGGTGGGCTCAAGCCTTTAACCTTCCAGTTAGCAGCTGAATACGTTAACCATGTGTATCATCTCGGGACTTCCAGTACCTGCATTGAAAAACTATTATGAACCAAACCTGAGGGGAGGAGAGGAAGAAAGGTAAAAATTCCGTTACTTACTGGTCTTATATTCTCCTTGTCCCCAGACCTAGACTTTTCCTTTCATCTCCACAACTCTTCTGAGCTAGCTTTATCATCCCTTTTTGAAATATGAAGAAGCTGAGGCAAAAGAGCCTAAGTAACTTACCAAAGACACCAAGTTAGGAAGTGTTAATACCTGGCTCCAACTTCTGAACTCTTCTAACTATACCTTTCTGCCTTCAGGGTTACCATATTCAGTGAATTAAAGGTATCTGTAACCATCACTCTGGTATTCTGTAAAGATGAAATCAGAAGATCCACAAAAGAGAATCCCAGATGCTTTGTGTTCATCATTCAAGCTGGTGAAGCACCTACTTTCCTTGTTCTAAGGGCCCACTTCTCTGAGCAGTTTTCAAAATCACACCCAACACTTTGCATGTTTTCAACCTGCAGCTTGTAGCCATTAATTAGTTCCTATGAGTTAAGTCATTGTTATCTCATTTTACAGATGAGACAGGCAGTAGAGAGAGAGGTTAGATAATTTTTTCAGGATCAGCAATGCATCCCAGGAGAGCTGAGGCTGGACCTCTCCAGCTCAGGCTACAACATGTTGACTGTCCTAAGGAGGATGCCCTAATCTTGACTACCTTCATAACCTGCACTGTGAAATAGATTATCTCTTATCTATCTATCTATCTATTTATTTATACTATTTTCATAGTGTATTATAAAACATGGTAACAGATGTGAAAAAGAAAGGGAAAATTAAGGATTTTATATGCAGGAAGCTTATTTCCAACAAAATATTTCAGGTTGTGAATCTAAAAGCATTCTAGTTTAAAATTGCTAGCATCAATACTCTCTTTATAACAAAGAAAGGGTTACAGGGAAAGGCACTGACTTGTTCTGAGAGGGCTGTCAGTAATAGTGGAGTCTGTGGTGGCACACATGGTTACACACTTGGCTAGTGGCCAAAAGGTTGGTAGTTTGAACCCACTGAGAAAAAGTCCTGGAGATGGACTTTGGGAAAATCAGCCATTGAAAACCCTATAGGACACTGTGCTGCTCTGACACACATGGGGTTGCCATGAGTCAGAATCAACTCAACAGCAAGTGGTTTTTTATTATTAAACAGTAAGAAGTGAAATATATTTCTGTTTGTAATTTTAGCTGTCTTTTCTTTCATCAAGAAACTGTCTTTTGAGAACAAGTAAATGTGTAACTCCATAAAGTGTGGCTAGCTTTAAAAAGGAGTGAGGGGGGAGGACAAAGATGCTATGAAATTACCAAAAGAGTCTTATTTTTATACAGTTGCACTGTAATGGAAATAAACTCAGACTCCTCAGGCACCAGTGGGGTCCAAGCATGAGTGGAGGATTTCTTATTTTTCTTCCTAAGTGACATTTTAATAGACAGTTTTTTATACGTAATGAGGTTTTTGGAGTAGCAGGTATGCAAGCAAACAGAAAAGAAAGCCATACTTAATATGTAGGTAGATGTTGCAGCACTTTTTTTTTTTTTTTTTTTGGTACATGAATTTCATTATCTCCAATGATAACTTTGTTGAAAGCACCCACAAATATATTTGGGGCTAAGTTTTATAACACAGATCCAGAATCTAATGACTAAGAGCCCCAGCTCGTGACACATGTCAGCCTCAGATAGATGGTACATTTTCTGTTTTAAAGACTCAAACAAAACTTTTCACATTCTTCTTTGAAAAAAACAAAATTACATTTGAAGTCCTTTTTCACCCAAACACATTTTGAGATAAGAGCTCACAAGTCTTGACATTATTTCATTTTGTTATGCGCATCTGTCAAGGAACTGAGATACGATACAGCTACTAAAAACTGATGATTGTGGAACAGAGAGACTTGACAGCATTTCATTTCCTTTATGTTCTGATTATACATTTATCAGAAAACCTGTATCTCTTCTAGTTCAACTAGAAATTGGCAGAATTCAAGAACTCAAAGGCTTGGCAAAGAACTGTCCTATTATTTGGTATCATCTTACATTTTAGAGAAGTTGCTTGGTTGAGTCATTGTTAAAGCTTTTGCTTCTCTTTTCATTATTGTGGTCCACTATCCACGGATCACATTTCTATAAGCCCCATAACTACTTTGCTGCACAAATTAAATGCCAGGATATTTCATACATATACGCCAGAGTTTCAATGCTTGTCAATCATAGTTTATAAAATATCAGAATTACTACCTGATATTAACATCCAAATCCATTGTGCTCATTTTATGTGTGAAAATGAGAAACCCTTGCTCAGACATGAGGTTTCCCAGCCTTTTTGTTACCCTGTTCTTAATTTATCTCCAGGTTTGGAGTCAGTAAAATGATTCTTACTTATCAATTTAATGTAGTGATAAAAATATATCTACGAATCAGAATGATGAGCACTAAGGTGGATCTCTACAGGTTGTTCGGTATTCTGCCCAACCCTGCTGAGGGTTTTAATGGGCTCATTCCTACATAGAATAAAAAGAAACCTGGTTTTTAGTTGTGTCTCAACTAGTGATATGATTTGATTCACTTGAAGAAGTGGACATAGAAATACATCATCTGAGGGAGGAGGCATTTTAAACATGACTTTTATTCTTGTCTTTTTTTTTTTAAACAGGTGTACTTCAAAAGGAATTATCCAGATATTACTCACAACGGCCATGTGCTGATGAGCACTTCCAATGGACAGCCCTCAGCCTTAACTATTTTTGAGACAGCACTGTGATTCTTCTAAGATGTCAAGTTTATTCCAGTGGCATTTTCCAGTAGTTTTTGCACTGTGTAAACTATATTGTAATTTAAAAAAAAAAAAAAAAAAACCTCTTGCAACAGATATTTACACATACAAGGTGTTAGTTTATTTTGATTTTCTCCCACCTTCACCCAGTGGTTTCAAGCTCTCACAAAATGATTTATATTTTTATTTAAATGTTATATTTTATTTCTTATCCAAATCAGAGGTGCAGGCCACCAATAAAATCTGTCTACCAAGTTTGTGCCTTTAAGAGACTCCAGAGCCAAATCTCATTTTGTAGGGTATAAGGCAAAGCTGTCACAGATTTTTCTTTTTTACTTCCCCAAAATAACGTAGTACGTTCCAGTTATATCAGGGATTATGTTTACTTGAAGACTGTGTGAAGTTGCCATTTTGTCTCACCACTTTCATTAGCATAACTAGGATCACTTCCCCCAATGTCGTATTAAAATAGTATAGATAACACCGATAGAAAGAACAAAAAATAATTTTATGTGAGAAGATGGTAGAACAAGTCTACCCTCACCCCTAAAACAAGGGCATGGTCAAAATATGGAAGGATGATACTCGCTTCATGTTCTAGGAAGAGCAAATAATACTCTCAATATAGGAGCCCTTTATAGATGATTTGATCATAAAGAATGCAAGCATGGCCACTGGTCATCTTTTAGATTTGTGTGACTCTCACATGGGATCCGTGTTGCAGTTTTATACTCAGCATGGTGAGATGTTTTAAAAAGGTCAAATACAGTAAAACCTCTGTAACTGTAATTCTTGGAGAATATGGTGTTATTTTTATTGGGATTTCTAGTTTACCCTCTGTTGCCTATAAACCTTTTGGTTTAGCCATTATTGAAACCTTTTCTAAATTTCATGCAAAGGCTTTTCTGACTTACTGAGAAAAACTGGAAGTCATTGTAAACATTGAGTGTAATTATGCAGTGCATTTTTCAGATACATCCAAAAGGGTCATCTTCAGGAGCCTGCCCATGTTAGTTTACTTCTGATCACTAATAGTAGTTTCTTTAGGTCTGATTGGTGGTGACTATGGTATCTTGAGTTCAAGTTTGTAAACATTTTACTGTCATGGTTTAAAGTGCTCTCTCATGACCTCTCAAAATAAGTATAACTACCCTCAAATTGCATATTAATATATACACATACATGTGTGTTTATGAGTGTGTTTATGTGTGTGTGTTCATATGGCAGGTTTTTATACTTTTCAAAAGAAAGATGTTTTCTAAGACCAAGTCTTTAAAAGCACACACACACAACAAACTACCAAAATTCATTGAATGTGGTAGTTGTTTGACTCTTGTATGTAAAAATATATGGTTACTATTTAGTTCAATAAACCACACATAGTAAGTTGTTCATTAATAGTGGTTAGTATTTCTGGAGACTGAAATGACAATAGTGATGATAATGAAGTTTGTTAAAACAGTAGAAATCACTGAAATGTGTATATGTTTTTTTGGTATTTGGAGGTTGAAGGCAGTTATATGACTTGTTTGTATTTTATTTCTGTGTTAACTTCATCACTTTTTTTAATGAAGCTGAATTCATTAGAAATAAATGAGTTTTCATCTCCATTCAGAGATCTGTATTTTTGTTCTTTGATGGATTACTAACTCATGTCTTTGCTGCTGAAAGCCAATGAGTTTTCCAAAACTACATGTTGTTAATATCTTCCATTATTAACTGGTTCTCTTGACCAATTAGATGTCCCAAATATTCTAAGCAGATAAACATATTTCAGACATATTGAAATATTTGCTATTGAAGTAGCCTAGTTGCATCCCTTGGGCACGGGTGGTGGGGGGGATGGGACGGGGGGAGCAGTATTAGCTTATGGCCCAGGCTTGGACAAGTTGGGTTGTTTGTTAGTTTCTTTTTAAAGGTAACTTTGGCCTAAACAAACACAAAAACATTTATTGCTGCTACATTTAAAACATGATAGAACCTTGGGTCTCAAAGTATGGTCCCTGGACTAGCAGCATCAGTATCACCTGGGAACTTGTTTGAAATGCAAATTCTTGTGCCTCACTCCAGATCTAGCGAAGGAGAAACTCCAGTGGTGGGGACTAGCAATCTGTTTTAACAAGCTGTCTTAGTTATCTAAAAGCAAAAAACAAACCCACTGCCATCAAGTCAATTCCAACTCATACAGACCCTATAGGACAGAGTAGAACTGCCCTATAAGGTTTCCAAGGCTGTTTATGGATTAATCTTTATGGATGCAGACTGGCTCATCTTTCTCCCACAGAGCTGTTGGTGGGTTCAAATTGCTGACCTTTTGGTTAGCAGCCAAATGCTTTATCCACCACCAGAGCAACTATCTTAGTTATCTTGTTGTTGTTGTTGTTGTTGTTGTTATGTGCCGTCGAGTCGGCCCCGACTCATAGCAACCCCTCCTTGGGTTTCCGAGGCAGTATCACTACGGAAGTA